CCCGATTTTTAGTGAATTTATACAAAGTATGATATTTGTCTACTAAATTATTAGATAAAAAATTTATTCAAGTTCTTGGCCGGCTTAGCCGGCTAAGGTTTTTCTACTGGCTAACATCACTATCTTCTAGAAGTCCGCATTCACTCTTACAAAATGGAAGAATACCCTCATCAATTAACCTGAATAAGTAGACTCCGTCCCTTTCCCATTTGACAGCATAAATATTTACTTCAAATCCTATATTAAAATTGCATATTAATATATAAAGTTACCAAATACTAGATAACATTTATATATAAATAATTTTACCATGTAAAGTCTATCCATATAAAGCCACAGATTTTTTTTGATTATCATTGATATTTTCTCAGTTCTTAATTATTGAATCAATGGAATCTTTTAATATTACTGATAACTTGATTTTATCAAAAAATCGTTTCTTTCATGTCACAGCAGGATGACTGAAAAACATCAGGAAATTTTCCCTGTCGTAATATTATGTCAACCACCAGACAATTCTCCAAATAAAGCTTCAACTTTAGAAGATGTTTCTTTGAAAATGCCAATAATGTCAACCCTCCTGCCAATTTTAGCTCTTTGATATGTATTAACATTTTCCTTTTGGACTTCTTTTGTTGCATGAGATTGGATTTCACCCTATAAATGGAAGGTGTAATTTAAAAATTTTTTTTTTTACATAAAATTAACAGTGCAAGTAACTTACCACCTATCTATTAAAAAATCATTATTAAATATGACATGATAAATGGGATACATCGTTGTCATCTTGAGGACCTCTTCAGATACACATCCATTAAGAACATCAGTGTTTATTATCCTGCATAATAGGTGAAAATAAAATAAAATTATTATAGATTTTTTTACAAATAATGTCTATACTAGGAAAATCAGTCACTTCAGGCAAACAAACTATTCTTAGTAACAACCCTTATAGTTTGAATATATGTTTTAATATTAAGCTAATCCAACTCCTAAATTATATTTAATACTTACACATATTGAATATAATTATTGAATTTTTTATACTTACCAACCAAATTAATATTACAATCATTGCTGAAATATTCTTGAATAATTGGTGGAGATGGCTCTGGATTCCATTGGATTGTATCTAATCATCAATTTCTTTGCAATTAAATAATGATTCTCTTGTTAAATCAACAATTCCCCAATACCTAGGCCTGGAAAAACATAGGAAATATATATTAATGAGCAATTGTGTAATGTTATGAAAAAATTACTGCAAAACCTACATAATTATTCTTTTTGATTTCGGATTTTTGATCTGTACAAATCGAACTTAAATAGATGTTAAATGTGCATGTTGAAATATGCATCTAAATTACCAGCCTATATTTTAAACCATGACCTACCACCACATGTTAAATATACATGGGGTGGTCCAGACCTAATGTTGCAAGAAAACCCCACAACTACTTTCCCTTTTCTATATAATTTTTTATTATGATATTACTTAATATTGATATTATCTATACTATGATTACTAGTATTATCAATGTTATTTTTACTATCACTACTATTGATATTTTTATGATTACAATTCTTATTATTCTTAATAACACTGGTACTTGTGTTATTAGTTATTTGTTTTTTTATACTTGATGTTTTTTTATATTTCTATTTCCTTCTCCCATTTTATCATCTCATTACATCTCTATCCAAATTTTTTCTCTGGTTGTTGTTATTATTTTTCCCAACTAAATTAATTTTATTGTAAAAAAATAACAATAATAGTAAACAAATATTGTTACACGTGACTTGTTACACTCTTCAATTTTATTTTTTTGTAAAACCAAAGCTAAGAATGGTTGGAGTTTTTATGCAAATAGATTCTTTATTTGTATTTCTTTTGTCAA